TGAGGCGGGCCGTGGGGCTGCTGTGCGCTTCGGTGCGGTGTCCCGTTCCCCTCAGAACAACGGCGGTGGCTGTATCAGTACCAGCGCCGCTTTAAAGATGAAGTGACCTAGGCTGGAGGGGGTTTGGTGACTTCCCGAGGAGCATCCAGCCAGTAGGATGGGGACCAGCTGTGTCCACTGCGAGGACTGGAGTTTGACCTCTGCGTCGAGGGTTCTCCAAGGCTTAGAGTTCTTTAGCGTCATAAAAATTGAGGGCCCCCAAAGGCCTTTTGTTTATGTGGGTTGTATTTTTTGAGATTTCCAATATTAGAAATGAAAAACAGAAAGAAGTATTCATCCAAAATTAACAGTCATGGATTTGTTATTGATTTGTTGTTTTAAAAACTCCCCCCACCCCCCCAAAAAAATCTTAGAGTGGCGGTCTTTTACATCTTGCAAATCGGTACTCTCTGGCTTATGGAAGGCAGCTGGCTTATCTTCCGCATTCAGTCTGGTGCCACCACACACCTCGCAGCCGGGGGAAGGCTGGTCAGCTGTGAGAGGACAAAAGGGAAAGGCAAACGGTGTGTTTATGTCATTAGGAAACTAGTTTCTACCTTGGGGCCCACCTGGAAGGTCCGGGGGATCCCAGGAGTCCGTGGACCCTGCTTTGAAAACCATCCCCTCTGGCTGCTCTCCTGCAGAGGGGAGCATTTGTAGACAGTGGCTCCTCGGGCCTGAACCTTCATCAGCGTTCCCTCGGGAAGAGAATGAGGTTTCCCCTGCCCTGGGCCTCTGGAGGTGAACTTCCATATCTGGTTTGGGGTTAATGGGGAGGGGAGTTCTTGGCATTGCCATAGGACAGGGTCCCTTAGAGGATGTGCTTGGAAAGACAAGTCTTGTGACTGTAGCAACTGTAGATCCCAGAAATGCCAATGTTGTCTTCCGCAGTCTGTTAGTTACCGTGGCATTTTGAAGGTTCCAGCATTGATGCCAGCCTTACTCCCCAGATGCTCCCAGATGTGGCACAAGAGCCCACTGTCAGTGTGTCCTAGTTTCTGGTTTGGACAATAAGGCAGATGTGGCACAGGGCCCACGACGGCTCCAGCCTTGAGCATGGGGCTTTGACCGCAACAAAAGGCCGGGGCATGTGCTGGTGTGGGGACGGCTGGTTCCTCACTCCTCAGAGGTCGGCTTTGCCTGCCGTTTGTTTGGCTGTTACTGCTGCTGAGGAGCCTCCTGAATTCCCTGACCTTTGTGGTACTTCAGGGCTCTGAGTAAATTGTACTCTTGGAGGTAAAAAAGCAAGGCCTCACATCAAAGAATAGGATGATAGATACCAGTGTTTTGTTTTGTTTTTTTCCCCCAGAGGTCACTTCATTCAGATGATGTTAGTGGTCTGTGGATAGAACTGTTCGTTCTCTCCTCGTAGGGAGGTGTTTGTTTCCAGGGCAAGATGCCACGAGAGAGGATCTTTAAGCTGTAAGGGGAAGGAAGGTGGCCATTTGCTGAGTGACTCCAGTAGTGACCTGTCAGGCTCCTGCTGGCCAGCCGAGATGTGTAACCTGAGTTACTGCTCTTTAGGTTTCCCTCTCATTCAGGAAAAAGAAAATAATGCCACATCACAAAGTATTATAAGGCTTTCCTGGGAGTCTCCTGCTTTGTATTGGAGACTCTCCTCAGGGTCCTTGGGATAATATGTCTGCTTTCCTGGGTGATCCTGAGTGGTGAGCGGTGGGAGGGAATCCTCCTTGTGACTCCTGAGATTTTCCTTGAGGTCTCAGGAGTGGGGAATGAACAGCACTCCAAAGAGAACTCTGGTTTCAGGTGGTAAGAGAGAGATTTGTTCCTCTGTCTGAGGAAGAGCCCGGTCGGGGCAGGAACTGGGTCGGCATGTCTCCCCAGCCCAGTGCCTGGCGTGCGGATGGGCTTGCAGAGAACATTTGTGTCTAAGGTCATTAATGTTTCTGAAGGTGGAAACCCTTTTGGACAAAGCAAAGCGAGCCTAAAGCAGAGCAGTCTGCAAGATGGTACAGATCTGCATATTTCATTTTCTTTCTCTTTCTACTCGTGGTTTTTCTGTTTTCTTTTCTCTCCAGTGACAAGAAAAGGAAGCTGGAAGCCAAACAAGATCCCAAACAGAACAAAAAGCTGAAGAAAAACAGAGACGTGAAGAACAAAAAAGATCTGAAACTGAAGCGGAAGAAATAGGAGCGTGGGCATCAGCGGCTGACGTGTACGGAGAGCGCCCCGACTTCCCGAGCTGTCTCCGGCGGGGCCCGGCGGCGGCCTGGATTGTTGAAAGCAACAGGGGCCCCCGCCAGACCCGGAAGCCGGCCAGGACTTCAGTCCATGGGCTGAGCTTGGCTTAAGGAATGCGACGGTTGGGCAAAGCTCTGGCACTGCCGAGGGCCTGTCTCCCCTCCCGCGCTCCCGGCCTTCTCCCCCCCATAAGTTCCCGTTTTGCTCTGGGCCCAGCTCTGTTAGCGCCTCCTCAAGGGGGGGAAGCCACGCTGACTCTTTCCCATCTCAGGGTTAAACACGCAGCTTTCTGGTGATGCGCAGGCGGCCACTAGTGGAGCCCTGGGCCTCTCGTCGTGGCCTTGGCCGGACACCCTGAGGCCCAGGTCAGCGTGCGGCGCCCTGGGCTTTGCTCTGCTGTAAACCATCCCGCTCCTGGCTGCGCAGGCCTGCAGCCCCGTGTCCCAGAAGAGCCTGAGCTCTTAATTTAAGAAGAGGACCTCGAGTCCCCCAAATCTGTTATTTCATCTATTTGGGAAAAAGTGTTGGGCGAGACCCTTTCGCTAGCAGGGGTGAGGGAGGGCTAGAGAACCTATTTTAATAAATAACAAGCTAGAAAGAGCAACTGCCTCTGGGTGGTCATTGACTCCACGAGGGTGGAAGTTGCCCCTCTGCCTGCTTCTTCTTGCGGATCTTGGCTGCCGGGTAGAATCTGGAAGGTGTTGGTGCCAAGGCCAAGGGGAGGCAGTGGCCATGCTTAACCAACCCGAAGCCTGTGGGAGAAGTGGCCGGCACCAACCGTGCTCGCTGTGGTCCTTCTGAGGGACAAGCTGTGGCACCTGGAGGCTAGCTAGCCGTGCTTTCCCCCCCACATTCCTCTCGGGAGACAGGAACTGGGGACAGAAATTATGTGGTGGCTTCACACAGACTTTGATATGTGTGTTTGATGGTATCCCTTTGTGGTTCCCAATCCAGCACTGTGTTACTGAGCCTTGAGCCTGCGGAGCCTCTGCCGGTTTCTGTAGGATTGTTCCTTATCCCTGACCCTGGTACAAGCACAGCTCAAGGTAGAAGTCAGCTCAGTTGTGCTCTTGTTCTGATCTGCTGTTTCCCGGTGCCACGCATGGGAGCTGAGGGCAGTCCTGCACAGCTCCCTGGCTGCGTCAGTCTTCAGCTTCCATGCTCGTTCTTCTTTTTATCTGCAAGATTCACATGGAGGCCTTGGTTACTGACGTTCCTTGGTTTTTCATAGAATTTAAAAGGACTGGTCTTCCATGAGTCCAAAGACCCTTTCTTCCGCCATGATGTGTAATCCAGGTTCCAAGAAGTCTGACACATGGCAGGGAAGGAAGGGGAGCTTCTGGACCAAAGAGGATTAAAGGCATACTGCCCAGGACTCACACCCACAGCAAGGAGAGCAGATTCTGCCTGGACTAGGGACCCCTGCACCTTGTCCACACAGGTCTCGGGGCCTTTTGTCTCCTGGATCTAGAGGTTCCTGCCTGCAGACCCCCTGTCAGGTCTGCAGGAAGGTTTGCTGAGAGGGGCAAGGAGACTAATTTTTGATCTGCTTTTTTCAGGTGAGTGCCTGAGCCTATCTTTCAAAGAGGATTTTCTTAGGAGAGAGGCTTAAAAGCAAAATCAGAATCCCAAATGGTCACAGCTGGATGGTTTCTTAAAGCTGTCCAGCCACGTCATCCCATGGGTAGGAGGGCCCGGCCCTTGCGCTTTCGTGGCCTCTCCAGCCCCGAAGCCTGGCTTGTGCTCTGCTCCGGGATGCAGGGAGGAGGCGCCCTGAAGCCAGGCCTCTCAACCCTGCTCTGCCCCGAGTCTCCCTGTGACCTGGGGCACACCACTCACCTGCACCTGCTGTCCAGGGCGACATGTGTGAGATGCAGGTGGCAATGATCGCTCCCACCTCCTGGGCCGTTGGAGGAGTGAGTGGAGCTGAGTGTGGGGAGCGGACCACGGTGCCTGCTGTGCGGCAAGGGCTCCAGAAATCTGTGTGTCACGGGGCCCGCGTCTGCGTAACCAGGGGAGCTGCTCGGTGACACAAGCGCTAGGAGTAAGACCGGCTTGTTCTAAAGCCACAGGCTGAGCTGAAGAGTCCCACTTGGGCAGCAAGAAGGTGCACCTGGTGGTCAGACCTGTCGGGCTGTCGGCTTCCAACAAGGTTGTCCCTCATCTCTCTGAGGCCGCCTTCCCCTCCACACGCTAAGAGGAAGCTGCATTTGCCTACTATCTACAGTCCCGGCCCTTTTCCTGACAAAGCGTATGTTCTTAAACAGGTCTCTGCACTTCGGGGTAGTGATCTTGCGTTCTCCGAACCTGACAAAGCACACCTCCCCCAGACCTCGCCATCTGGCCCCCAGACAGAGTGACATCTGTAAAGCTAGGCTGTCTCGGGAAATGTCACTGGCGAAATGAATTCAGAAAGGCTGCCTGTGAATGCTGTCACCCGGACGGGAAGGGGCTCAAGAAGCCTGAACAAAGAAGATGCCTAAATGGGCTGCATCCCCCTGAGCGGGGACGGGGTTCCCGCCGGCCTGCTCCGGGGCTTCACCGCTCATCTGGCCCCTGCCGCCCCAGAGGACTCGAGTGACCAGGAGTTGGACACAAAGGGCTGTGGAGGCTGGGGGAGGGGAGGAAATAAGTGACCGCCACCTTGGAAAAATGTAGACTCATTATCTGAGGGTTATTACCCCAGCCGCCAGCTCAGCTCGCAGGTCTCAGTGGGCGGGTCAGGCCTCAGCCTGGGGGGAGGGGAGAGGGAGGGGAGAGGGAGGGGATGCCCCGTTCTGTGGGCAGCCGGTTAAAGGGGAAATGTGTGGATTCGGGGTGGCGGCTGGTGGAAGGCCCGAGGCTCTCCTGTGGTGCTGTAGGTGGTTCAGCTGAGAACGTTGCCGTGGTCCTGGTGTCTGGCTGGCACTGGGAAACCAGCAGAGAGCAAAGTTAAGGGGAAGGAGGAACGGGGGCAGGAAGGCAGGCGACCCTCATGTCTGGAGAAGGTTTCCTTTGGGGACAAGGCCCAGGCTCCAGCTGCTGTCGTTGCCTGCAGGGCGGCTGTGGGAGACTGAAATCCCTCTGGTATAGAACTTGCGTTCAGCCCCTTGTTTCCCTGGGACTCCTGCGAAGGCCAAGTTCACTCCTGCCTTTGGCTGCTGAGAGCCTGAAGTGGGCAGCTGGAGGAGAAATGGACCCTGTGCTCTGGAGCAGTGGCCCTGAGGAGGAGACCCAGCCACCAGGGATAAGGTAAGGTGACCAAACACCTCCACTTCTCTTCTAGTCCCCCTAGCCCCCTTGGAAGAATCTGATTTTTTTCTAATTATTTGTTAGGTAGGCTCCATGCCCAGTAACGTGGGGCTTGAACCCACGACCCTGCGATCAACAGTCAGACAACTGAGCCACCCAGGCGCCCCTCTATTACTGAAATGCCTTCTTAGTGTGTTCTGCTACACAGAGGCTCAAAGGGGTCCCAGCCCTGCCTTACATTGCCTTCCCTTTAGCCTGCCCCGCAAAAGAGAAAACAGCTAAGCTCTCTAGGTACTTGGCTGAGGCATGTGCTACAGGGGGCACAAGGAGAGCGGGGCGAGGCTTGTGGGGAGGGTGGACACAGACCCCTGAAGGGGAGCCACTGCAGACTGGCAACTGCTGGCTGGGCAGGGACAGCCCCCTGAACCAACCTCCCAGGGGCGTCCACCCAGGATGGTGCCGAGCCTTGCGCCTCCTCCCTGTGGCCCCCAGAGGGCGCCAAGCTGCCGGGCCTGGGCCCCGCCCCGCAAAGCTGGGCATTGGACCTTTCCTGGACTGACCCCAACTACCACCCTGAGGTCTTCATGTTGTCCCCCAGTTTCTGAGTTCTGGCCTCTCAGTTGCCGAACCACAGCCGCTTGGGCCAGTGTTCCTAGTGACCGGCCTCAGGTAGCAAACACTTAAAAAAACCTTTATTTCTGCCTGGATGTCGTACTTAAAACTAGAACTGGTCCCAGAAGACCCTTGGGCCCAAGTCACCAGCTCCCTGTCCTCTCTCCATTCCCAGGTGGCACAGACCAGCTTGGGCTCAGCTGGGCCGGAGGCAGCAGCCGCCAACCTCGCCGGGCCTCACAAGGGTTTGCAGACAACCGTTATGACAACCCCAATGGTAGTTCCCACGTGAGGGCGCTGGGGGTGGCCTGGGCTCAGGGAAGATCAGAAAAGCCCCTGACAGCCATCTTACTCCTGGCAGGGGGCTCCCGTCCCTCCACACAAACACCTTTTCTGTCCTCATAAATGGCACCTAAGTGCTTAACAGAGAAGAATTTTGTATCTTCAGCTAGCTTGTTTGACAGGGGTAGGGTGGGGTGTGTGTGTGTGTGTGTGTATGTATATGTATGTAGGGGGAGTCCTAACCCAGCTTGGGGCTGGAGGCCTGAGTAACCAGGGAATTAGCCCTGGGTTCTCTTCCCCAGCTCTGAGCGACTCTCTAGCAAGAGTGACAAGGCCAAGGTCATTGTTAACAAGTGTTTATTGTTAATAAAACCCTGGTACATTTACAATAAGTGACATTAATGTACAGTTACAGTATCATACAATATTACAGCAATAAAATAACGCCTATTCCTTTGTACATCCAGCTCAAGGAGCTAGTCAAAAATATTTTCCAAGATTGCAAGCCCCTGGGGGCTTTTCAAGGTAACCAAAGTGACACCTCCTGAAGTGCCCAGGGCTCTTGGTGAATAAATAGTTTCTAAGGTGCAGCCAGACAGCCCGAAGATGGCGACACCCAGAACAAGCTGTCCGGATGCCACCCCAGTGTCTGGTCCGTAAATACGACAGGTGTCAGGCCCGCGGCTGGCAGGACAGGAGCCGTGGCAGGTCCTCTGCTCCCCCCACCGCCCCACCCCTTCCACCCCCGGACCCGCAGTTCCCATGAGAAGTGCCCTGCTCTAGAGACCCAGCCAGGGCGACACGGAGGCGTCTGCTTCCTGAGCCCCCAGAGGCAGCCTAACTCTAGGCTTGGGGTTTCAGGATTGGCCTCTAAAAGCAGCAGGAACAAAAGCTGAGGCCAGCAGACTGTGCCCTATGCACCCCCATGCCGCCCCTGGCTCAGCCTGGAAGTCCGAGGGCGTCACCTGGGGGAACCGCCTTCTCACACTAACAGAGCAGGGGTGTGCTCCCCCAAAGGAGGGCCTCTGTAGGCCTAGACACCAAAGAAAATAGGACTGTAAGTGACCCTCTGGGCAGGGATCTTCAGGCCCTCGGAGGCTCACATCACAAAGGCCTAGCCTTGAGGAAGAAGTTCAAGGATTTGGGCAGCCTTTCTGATGTGACCTTGAGGAAAAATACCAGTTTCGGCACGAAGTGGCCTGGGGCCCAGAGTGTAAGTTCTCTACCTTCATCAGGATGCCCATACCCCCAGGGGCCCCAGCTGGGACAGTCCGAGCTTGGGGAGGCCTGGGGATTGTGGGTGGTCAGAGCCTGGAATGAATGGTCAGAAGCTCTTTCAAGCAGGGGTGAATCAGGGTCAACCCTAGACCTCCAGGAGGGGAAAAGGGGCACACGAGGGTGAGTGCACCGTGGCCCTCGAGGTGCAAACAGTATGGGGTCGGGGGTGGGGGGAAGGGCCACCTTTTGGCCTTGTCTGCCCATCACTCGTCAAGCAAACCACCCTGGGGCAGAGGGGCTGACAGTGGGGCCGCCCAGTGACCGGGGGCTCAGAGCACATCAGCCTACCCAAGGACCGATTAACACCGGAGAGGGGGTCTGCAGAATGAGGGGGAAACGGAGCCCCATGAGCCTGGCTCCAAGGAGGCCTACAGCCAGTGCCCCTACCCCCACAGCGGGGCTCCGACCCATCCACAGGGCCCAGGTGTGTACTTGTTCAGACGCCCCCGGAAGCACTTGCTCCCAGCCTTTCAGGCCCCCCTCCCCACCCGGGACGCCTAGACTCGGAGCCCCGGCCCAGAGGCGGCAGGCTATGCCGCCCTGCCGCGTCCCCACTGCCCTCAGACCCGAGAGGTGATGTAGACAGAGTGCACGCGCTCGGCCAGGGTGCTCTGCAGGTCCTGCAGGGGGTCCAGGCCCTGCACCTTGCTGTTGCGGCTGTAGATGAGCTGCCGGAAGGAGTCCTGCTCGAGCAGGGCCTTCATGTGCTTGAGGAAGAAGCCTTCACAGAACAGGGCCAGTTCAGGGGCGTTGTGGATCTGTTGCGGGCGGGGGAGTGTGAGAGCCACGGCCTTCGCAGAGCCCCCCGGAAACGACACACCTCCCCACCCCGCCCCCAAATCTCACCAGGGGCCCAGGGCCTTCCCCTTATCTGGATTTCTTCCGTAATTCTCCTCCAGATGGGACTATTCCGGGTTCAAATCCCAGCTGCGCCACCAGGAACATCACTGTCTTGGCCCATCATTTTCTTTGCCTACTTCCCGCTGCTGCCATCACTGAATGGCAGGCACCCTTGTTGGCTTGAAGTGCCCTTACCAATGCCCGGGGCGGGGAGCCCAGCGCAAGCCGGGCACCTGAGCAGTTCCCCCGGGAGATGCTCAGTAACGATTTTAACTCAACTATCAAGTGGCCACTCCGGGCCAGGCGCTGGGCACCAAGTTCTGGGGGCCAGGTCTCTGCAGGGTCTCTTAGAGCTGACGCTCTACTTTGGGGGAGACAGAGAAGCCAGAGAACCAAGTAAGGTCACAGCAGACAGTGGTCAGTGCTGTGAGGAAAGTGGCAGGGGCCTCATGGGAGAGGCCAGTGGAGTCGGCAGGCCTGCGCTTTCCTGGGGGAGGGCATGGTTATCGCCAGAGCTGTGGGGGACGTGTGAGCTAAGAAAGCCATGTGGAAGATGTGGGAGGGGTCCTGGGGGCCGGCCAGTGTGAGATTTAGGCTGCGGAGGAAGCTTCGTGGGAGGGAGACTTTAAGTAGAGCAGTGACATGGTCTTAACGCTTGTCAAAGAGCCTGGAGACCTCACGGTGACAGCCAAGCAGGGGGAGGCCGGGTCAATGTCATGGTCCGGAGAGGTGACGGTGGCTCGGGACAGGGTGGGCACAGTGGACATGGAAGAAAGTAGACAGACTGCTGATGTGTTCACAGGGAGGGAGCCGGCCCAGATGGGGCAAATTAAGATATATGTAACTCCCAAGTTTTGAGCCCGAGCACCTGAGCAGAGGGCTGTGCCGAGAGGGGGTAAGATTAAGGAGGGGGTAAGATTAAGGAGGATAGGTTGGGGGAAAAAATCAAGTAAGAACTAAGGAAGTGATGTGACTTGGAGAAGCTCAGCCCTTTGGCCCAGGCCCCCCAGGCTGTGAAGCTCCCCTCCCGAGCTGCAGGCTGCCCTGATGAACAGCGGGAACCCCAAGCTACAGAGGGCATCACTAACTCCCCTCCACCCCTTGCACGGCCCCTCAGCCTGGCCTGGCACAGCCACGGGACAGCGAGCCCGTGGGAGGCGGCGGACGGCGCGGCACTCACCTTGGCGTACTTGTAGGTGTTCACGGCACTCTCCACGCTGAGGGTCTGAGAGCACAGGATCTCACAGTGTCTCTGCAGGGCATCCAACTGGAACAGGCTGGCAGCTGACAGCAACTGGGGGTGGCACGGAGAGGAGGGGGAACGTGGCCTTGGATGCGGGCAGCAGGCCCATGGCCCAGGCATCAGGGAACAGAAAGCTGCTCCGTGCCGTGGGCCCTGGTTTCTCCTAATCCTTGGGGCCCTGCCCGCCTCCGCAGGTCAAGTCTGAGGACTGATTTCTTTCTGTTCTAGGTCACCTGGGTACTTGCTGGGACACTTTGGAAGGCACAGGACGGGGGACAGACACTGGATGGGATGCCTGACCTCAGAAGGTTTTCAACCCTGAGCTGCGCTCCTTGTCTCCCAGACCTACTAGCCAGGCGCGTGACCCTCAGGGGGTCGGTTTTCTAAGCAGTGAGGTGGTGAGGGGGAGGCCGGGCTGCCTTTGATCCTGCTGGGCCCATCATCCCTCCACCCTCCGCCCCAAGGCCTGGCCCAGGAGGTAGATGGGCGAAAGGCCCTTCCTGTTACAGGAAGAGAAAGGACCAGCAGGGAATCAGGAGGTCCTGGAAGAGGCCACCTCCCCTCTCGGCTCTCCAGATGCCCTGTCCCTGAGTGCCAGCAGCTGGGCATGGGGCACACGGGCTCCCACCCCTCTCCCCAGCTCCGGGACCTCACCTCTAGGATGTCAGCAGCTGGGATGTCCATGGCTTCTGTCCCTCCGTAGTACAGATACTGCATCATCATCTGCGGTGAGAAGAGACCCCGTGTGAACACCAGACCCACAGGTCCTGTGTCCTTATCTGCCTCCAGCAGAGTGCCGCTCTCCACCCTGGGCCTGGCTGAGCCCTCCGTCCTTCCGCAGGTGGAGGCGCGCACGTCCCCCAACTCCCTGAGGCTACTCTTTGTGTCTGTGCAGTTTCCAGAAGTCAGCCCTGAGATTCTCCCTCCTGATCGACTGCGTGTAGGACAGGCCTCCTTCCATGGGGTAGCTCCACTCTGATCCTCAGGACAGCCCAGTGAGCCCAGAAAGGTACTATTCACAGATGGGGAAACTGAGGCCCAGGATGGGGGAAAGCAGCATGGCTCGAGTCACTTGGGTCTCCTGATTCCCACATCAGACCCCTAGGTGGCACGCTGCACATTTCTCTCACCTACATTCTAAATATGGGCCCGGGATGGGGGCGCTGCCCTCAGAAGCTGCTTCCAGTTTTCCTGTCTGTGCTGGGACTCCAATGTGGAGGTGAGAGCCAGACCCTGTCTCCCCGCTAGATTTGTTCCCTTGGACGGCAAGCACAGAGCTGGGGTTGGGATCTGCTCCAGAGGTCAGCTCGCCCCCCTGCCCAGACCTGCCTGGGGCTTCTGGGAACAGAGGGTCCAGGATATCAAATGAGGTGGCCCAGGAGTGGGTAATGACATTTAATTTTGTTGAGGTCTAAGTTACGAACTCTGCCATCACACTGGAGGCTGGGAAGTTCCCCGCTGGAAAAAGAAGTGGTTTGCACCGGTTGGCTGAAGAACAGCCCCAGCAAGGAGCTGGCAAGTGTGTGAGTAAACGCGGCTCCTGCCGGCACAGTCGGCCTCTGCTAGCAGTGGCCCCTGGGCTGGAAGAGGCACCAGAGGGTCTAGGGAAGGAGCCCAGCTCCGGGGAACGGGAGTGCGGAGATGGGCCTGGCCAGTCTGTCCAGGCCCAAGGTTGGTGCCCGAGACCGCCATCCCTCCCCTCCCCCCAGAGAGGCCTTCTGCAGCCCCTGCTGGAGCACGCGGTGTGCTCCGTGTGTCTGTCACTCCAGGAGGCGTGTGCCCCGGCGGGCCCACCCCCCCGCCCCCCAGGGCCTGGGCTCCGAGCTGTTCAGGACCGCACCGCAGGACAGCCCTGGATGAGCTGGGGCAAAAGCCCCTGGCCCAGGGCTGGGAGTGGAGTGGGCGGGTGGGCAGGAGCTCCCAGGATTGGAGGCTAAGAGATGGCCTCAGGGAAGCCCCTCAGCAAGAGGGGATGCAGAGGTGTGGGCAGCAACCCGCAGCTCCCCTTCCCAGCCTCCGCCTTTCAGGAGCTGGTTTGGACAAGGCGCAGCCAGCTGTGGCCCGTGGAGCTCCCTGAGGTCACTTGAATGCATATTAGTCCATGGAAGTCAGACCAGAACTGCTCCCTTGCACTTGCTGAGGGAGCTGGGTGGCCGGCAGGCCGGGCAGATGGGCTTTGCCCAGCCCGGCAGCCCCCAGGCAGGACGGGGGTCATGTGGCTCCCAGCAGGCTGCCCGCGGCTCTGGGAAAGGCCCGGGGAAGGTTCAGCTGCAGAGGGGCCGCACGGTTGGCTTCTGGCCCGAACGGGAACCCAGGAACCCGAGCGCAGGAAGGCCACGGACACCGCACGGGTAGGACTGGGGTCAAGCCAGACAGGCAAGCGTCTAGACCCGCTACAGCCACTGGTCACGTGTAGCTTGAAAGCCTGGGAGAGAAGGCTGGTCTGAGTGGAGATGTGCTGTGTCAGATACACACTGGACTGGAAGAACTTAGTATGAGAAAGAATGTAAAATACGCCATTAATTTTTATATTGACTGCATGTGATGTTTGGGCCATAAAGGGTTAAAGAATATACTATTAAAATTAATTTCACCCATTTCTTTTTGCTTTTTTACGTGGCTACTACGAAGTGTTAAATTACATAGGTGGCTTGCGTTATTTTCTCTTGGATGGCACAGCTCAGGTCTCCTCGGGCCGGTTTCCTCCTCTGGAAAACGGAATGACCGGCTTCCTTCCCTCCCCCTCACCTGTCTCTGTCTGTCTGTCTGTCTCTCCCAGTGCAGTGAAAGCCACGGAGATACTCAGGGGCTGCTCTAAAACATCCGGGCTTTGTTAGGAAGCTCGGCCTGGGATTGAAGGCTTTAGGCTGAGCCCTCCGAGGAGCCCGGAGAGCAGGAGTCAACGTGTGGAGGCCCCCCCCCCCCCGGAAACAGCGCTCTCCCCCGATGGCGGAGTTCTACAGCCACAGAGCCCACCCTGCCCAGGCCCCTGGGTGCCGGGGCGTGAGACCTGCTGTCCCCGCAGCCCTGACAAGTGACACGGCCACTAAGTGCCCTGGCACAGGCGTCCTCCAGTGAGCGAGGGCAGCCCCACGGCCGTGGTCACCCGGGTGCCCACACGGACCCTCACCCCCACCCTCCTGTGTCTGACTGTGACCCCACCTCATGTTCCAGCTCACCCAGACGGGGGGCTTCTTAGCCAAACAAGGTTCTAGAGCTGCCCCCTTGCCCGTGAGTTTGGATCGAGGGCTGGAAACGGGGGAAGCGGAGACACCCCACTCTGCTGCTGGTGCCAGTCCCCGGGGCCGGTCCACTCTCCCCTCATGCACCTCCCCCATCCCACTGCTGCCACCCACTCACCCTCATCACGCGACTAGACTTCTCTACAGCCTCCCACCTGGCCCCTGGCTGGAGCTGTGGCCCCTCTGAGTGAGCTCTGTAAATGCGAACTTGACCGTGCCACACAGCCTTGGATTGAATCCCGGCTCTTCACTTCCCAGCTGTGCGACCGCAGGCAAGTCACTCACTTCTCTGTGCCCCTGATGGAATAACCTACCCACCCCTCCTCGGACCGCGCTGTGCCCCGACGCGTAACTCATGAGCAGGGACACGAGCAGGGACACAGCGCTTGGAGCCCCGCCTGGCTAAGCGGTAGCTGTGATGACCTTCCAGGAAGCTTCCTCGGTAGGTTAAAGGTCAAACCCTTCATGCGATGGCTCCTCGGGCAGCGTCTTCTGAACCTCTAACCAGACCGGACCAGAGGGCAGTTCGGGAGCATGTGTGGTCTCTGCTGCTGGAGTTCGGTGTGCACCGTCCCCCTGCCTGGAGCCCCCGTGGCTGGCCAGCTGCCCCGGTCCCTGACAGCCGCCGCGCTGTGGGTTAGGTGCCCCCCACCTGTGCCCCCGGCGCTGCCCCCACACCTCTCACCCTCTCGGAGTCCCGTCTCCTGGGGGGCAGGGCCCTGGCCTGTTTACTGCTGTCCCCACGCTGTCCAGAGATGACGAAATGCTAAATAGTAAGTGGGTGAAGACAGTGTGAGGGGGAACTAGGCCATTTTCGATGGGGGCTCCCTGTGCTTCCGTGAGACTGATCTGTCCCATGAGGCCACAGAGCTGTCCTGTGCAGGGCCAGGCCCTGGAACCCATACCAGCTGCCTCCTGGCCTCAGCCCCTGGGGGTCGTCCCTGCAGCCTGGGGCCCACCACACAGCCTGGAGACCGGGAGTCGCCACTTCCCAGGAAGGAGCTCTCAGCAGGGGCTCGGCTGAGATCCCGGCCAGGCTCCTCCCTCCAGACTCTCTGGCCACGACTGGCGGCCAGCCTGTGGACTCTGCATCACGCAACCTCTGATGTTCCCCAAAGCCGAGGGACCGAAAGACCCGACCCTTGGTCTTCCACAACCAGGATGGGCTCAGCTGGCTTTTTCTGCTGGGCCTGCCGGGCTGGGGTCCGATGCTCGGGAGGACTGGTGCAGCCCACACGACGCTCCTCAGAGTGCGTGCACGCCAGCCGCCGGGGGGCTTGTTGGCACGCAGGAGGGCAGGGGGCTGACGCGCAGGTGTGTGCTGTGGGGAGCCCACCCTGAGGAACGAGGGCTCCTACAGGCACGTGTGGCGGGTGCTGGGCCTCACAGGTCTGCCGTCCGTCCGCCCAGGCCCCTTGCCCAGTGGTCAGAGCTCAGGACGCGTGAGCGAGGCTCTGAAAACTGTCAGCCTGCACTGGAAGGGCTACCGTGGCCTGGGACAGACGCGGCTGCTCCTACCGGACCACAGGTTCAGTGAACGCAGAAGGCAGTGGGCACAGAGTGCAAGATTATGGCCAACTCCCAGCTGCCTCCCAGCCCAGACAAAGCCGTGGGGCCCTGGGGGAGGCCGCCCCCCCGCCCCAAGAAACACGCAGCACGGAGGCCCACCCACCTGGAAAATGTGGTACTTCATGTCGCTGATCTCAATAGTTTTGCCACCGTCGCCATCTTGTTCTGATTTATTGGTCATCAGCGTCTTGAACCTGGAGCAAAGGGGGTGAAACAAGGCGGGTCTTGCACATGACTTTGATTTCATCCCCAGCAGCAATGGCGCCATCCATCACCCGACTGGTCACTGGGGGATGGGGCATTTTTAAAATTACTGCAGTGCTCCCAAAATAACTCTCGGCAAATGGCAGCTTACATCATCCTGGGCTGACAGCCGGGCCGGGCCGCGATCTGTCCCCACCGCCCCCCGTGAGTGACTGTGATGCCTGTGGCCTGGAAGGTGACTCTGCATTCCAGAACATTTTCTAATAATCGGAAGCAATACCTTGACCGGGAAGAACAGCGCTGCAGAGCGCCTCTTGAACTCTGGGTCCCCCCCTACTGTCCCGTCCCTCTGTCCACTCTGCCCCGCGCCCCCTGTGGGGTGGCGGGGGCTCCACGGCTGTGGGACCCATCTCTGCGGGGCAGAGGCTCCTCTCTGGAACGTGAAGCTGCCCCCACCATCCGGGGCTGGGCTTGTTCCCCGAGGCGGCCTACCTGTTAGAAGCCGTCACCAGCAGGACCTTGTGCGCATAAAAGAGCTTTCCTTCCACCAGGAAAGTCACGTCGGACATCTCCTTGTTGTTCAGAAAGTGAGGATCTGTAACCAAAGGGAGAGAAGGGAAGTGACCGAGGGCCCCCCGGGTGCCAGGTATGCGTTCCGAGAGGCCTGGGGGGTACACGGGAGAACAGAGACACTGAGGCGCCGGGAACGGGGAACAGCAGACCAAGGTGCGTGGAGAGGAACAGGAGGAGAGACGGGACGGAGCTCTGGGAAGGACGAGGGGCGGCTGGCCGCGGGCGTGGGGGGCAGGCCTCACCCAGCCTGGCGGGCAGCGTCTTCCGGATCTCGGGAATGCTGGGCACCGGGCTGCTGCCGTAGCAGTGCGTGAAGATGGTGGCCAGCTGCTGCGTGACGGCGTCGTTCTGCGGGGCAGAGGAGAGGGAGGGCCCGTGAGGCCGCCTGCCGTGGCTGCAGACACGGCAGGCTCGCTTCCCAAGTCCAGACCCGGCTCAGAGCAGCCACCGTCTTTCGGTTCCTCCTGGATCTGGCCTGGCGAGAGATGCCCGTGCCTCCCTCACGGAGTCCCCAAGTTGCTTTTCTGGCTGGGTTCCCGCCCCGACAGATCCACGGCCTCCGGCCTCTGCAGCCAGGCCGTGGCAGTCCGGCCGTGGGGTGTGCGGGAGGGGGCCTGCGTGTGTGTGTGCGTGTGTGTGCGTGTGCACACAAGGTCTGGGCCAGCGCCTCGGAAGCCAACATGCTCGGCGCGCAGGGTGGGGACCCGCCTGACGTCACTCACCTTGCTGGTCTTGAGGATGTCGAACATGAGCTGCAGGCCCTCGGTCACCAGCTCCTCGTTGTACTCCTCCTCCTTGATGGAGCCGAAGTCCCGCAGGAGGCTCTGCACCACTGAGTAGCGCGACTGGGAGAAGGAGGTCCTCAGAGACTCGATCCACACGTGCAGTTTCCAGGGGACGCCTGGGGGAAGGGTGGGCGGTCGTCACCTCCGCCGGGCACAGCCTGCACACACCCCCGAGCCCACTCCGCAGCGACCCCCTCTCCGGGCGGGCTCCTGCCCCCTTCCCTCATGCCGAGGGACCCTGAAGCCAGGGAAGGAGAGCTTCCATGGACCCTGACAGGCCCTGCTGAGAGGTCAGAGGGGAGTTCGGGTGCCCCCATCAGATGGGGCAGAGGAACGACCCCGGCCCAAGGGCAGGGCACCCAGACGGCTCAGCCTGGGGCCACACCAGCCCCCGTTTGTGGGGCCCCGGAACGACTTCCTGGGAAGACCCATCAATTACGAGGGCTGGCCAGGTGCCCTTGGAGGCCGGGGAAACATGCCGGGCATCTGGGCCCATGCCTGTCTGGCACTCGGGGCACTGGCATCCAGTGGCACATAATTACTGTGTACCAGCTCCCTGGAGCGTGGCAGTGGGGCCATAAACTAACTTAAAACTACTCTGTGGAGGTCATGACAAAAGCTAGTAATTTTCTTGGTAATTAGCAAGCTGCTCCCCCCGCCAAGCCTCACTATGGAGTAAAAAGAGGATGATGGCATTCCCCAGGGACACAGTGACGTAGGTGGCATTAGCATCCCCGGTGTTCTGACTGTAGCTGAGAACGATATACCCATTTTACAGTGAGGAACACTGAGCCTGACCGGCTGCAAGTGTGGCGGCCACTAGGACGTTCCACACTGCCATTGTGCATGCAGAGCTCACGGAGAGCTGGCCCCAGGCCCTGGGCCTCGTGTGACGTCACGGTCTTACGCGAGGATCGGCAGCGCCAGTGACGGCGGAACAGCTGGGATCTGGCCCAGGTCTGCCTGTCTGGGCGGCCTCCCCGCAGGAAGGAGCGTCCACGGACTCGCAGACCAGAGGAGCGAACGTGTGTGGCCGAGTGACAGCTTGAGAGCCTCTAGTTGACCAGAAATGTTGACCATAGTGATGCAGATGCTGGCAGGGCCGCACGTGGCAGGCCGCAGCCAGGCTGGGGGCCGTGAGGCTCCGACCAGGGAGGAGGAAGGGCCCGAGGCTGGAGGGCTGGGGCGATGCCCCCCGACGCATCCCCGCGGAGGACCGTCTGAGGCTCAGGACCTCTGCTGTCCTGGCCATCGGCCGTCAGGCCTGCGGAGACGGAGTCCGCCCCGTGCCCGGCTGCCCCTGCGGGCCCTGGCCCTCTTCCAGGCTGCTCTTAAAGAGCAGCAGAGTGCCCGTGTGTCGCGCGGATGTGTGTGCGCGTGTGCACGCCCGCGGGGCCTCACCCAGTGCCCGCAGCTCCATGGTGATGTCCACGTAGCCGTGCTCGGCACTGTAGTACATGGCCTCCTGCAGGGCCTTCGTGCGGGTCCGGCTCAGCCGCATGGGCCCCTCGCTGCTGCTGCCCTGGCTGGAGGTGTCGCTCTCCTCCACGCCCTCGGCCAGGATCTCCTCCAGGGACAGCACGTCCGCTTTGGCCTGCTGGGGCTGTGTCAGGAGCTTCCTCAGGACGTTCCTGCGGGCCACGGGATGGAGGACGGCCATGCCTGAGGCCCTCACCGTGGACGGTGCCCGCCTGCGGTGCCCTCCTGAGCCCCGTGGCCTAGACGGGCTGCTGTGGGGCACCTGCGGGCACTAGGGGCTCACGGTCTTCCCTCCCAGGCAGGCTGGGCCAGGGCTCCCAGCACCCTCCATCTGCAGCCATCTGAGAGTGGCAGGGGAGGATACGGGTGGACTGGCCCTGGGGACACCCCCCCCCCCACCGCCACCATCCTGGTACTACTAAGTCGTGGGCCTTGGCACCAAACAGGCCCTGCCATCCTGGCTGTGTGGTCTCAGAGAGGTTGCTCTGCCTCTCTGTGCCCTGACTGCTCTGGCATCTGCAGAGCGGGGTATCCGTGTCACCCTCATCCCGGGTCAACGGGAGGCTGACATGACGGCGTCGGGTGTAGAGCCTGCCACGCAGCAGAACCCCGAGATGGCAGCCACCTGCACGCGCGGCGAGGGTCTGAAACCCAGGACATGCTCACATGCCTCTGAGTTCCAGCCTGCCGTGAACAAGGATGCGCTTAAGTCAAGATGCCGGTTCTGCGGACTTCCCGTGTGTTGAATGGTGGACTTGACAGAGCACGTTCCTGTCTACCACTGCGTTAACCCTGTGAGAGCCCGTGGGCCCCGCCGCTCATGGCCGATGACTGCGTCATGCTCAAGGTCGCACAGGCAGGAGTGCGGACTCAGGCCCAGGACTGCTGGTTCCATACCCTGGGGCTCATTCTGTCATATCCGGTGGCCTGGGATGGCCGTGGGGGGGGCAGGTCCACAGGTCACCTGGGGGCTGAGCCTCCTCCCAGCAGCCCTGCCCAGCCCGCTCCCCGCTCTGATGGAGGTCATGTTGCGCTGGGCAGAGACGCCCTCGAGAGACCCGGGGTCATCCGACTGTCGCTTTGCTAGCTCACTGAGCTTACAGAGCACCTCGTTTGTGCCGTGCGCTGGCATGGGAAGGTGAGCCGGCCACCACCCCGTCCCCTAAATCCCGTGTTCCAGAGAGAAAATGGGAAGCAGGTGCATGGACAGAGTGTGTCCGCACAGGGTGAAGAGGTTGCAACAGGGGAAAACACGGGGCGCTGGCTGGGTGAAAAGGCCTAGTGGCACTGATGTGCAGTACGGTCCTGGGGGGCAGAGGGGAGGGTGATTTTGGTGGCAGAAGCTGTAGAGGAAAGCATTCTAGGGAGGGGGCCACAGCAGGGCACCCTCTGCTTTCCGAGAATGGCGCTGGCGAACAGGAAGTAGCTGTCCCACCCGCCCTTCCCTTCTGGCCCCTTCTCTGGCTTCTAATAACTGCCTCTCTTGTCTCACTCTCTGTCTCATTCAGCTGTCTCACAGCTGCTAGATGGCTCTGGTCGCAGCCTGCTACCCGCCCCGTCACAGCCCTGGGCAGGCCTGGCCCCCACAAAGCAAGGTCCACCATCTGCTCCTGGAGTGGGATGTGATTTCCCACACAGCCGCCAGGAGGCTCTTCGGGGCGAGCCATACGCTGTGCGAAGCCCCCGGAGCCCTGGAGAAGGGCCACTAAGGGTGGGAAGGGATGTGGCCCAGTCTACAGGAAGTGGGAAGGCTTGCCCTGGGTGTTGGGAGACCCAGGCTGCAGTCCCAGCTCCACCAGGAACCGGCCGGGTGGGCCTCTTGTGCAAGGGGGCTGTCTCCGCCACCCAGAGTCTCTGGGCCTCCAACATCTGAGGCCTCTCTGCTGGTTGAAGACCTGTATCTTCTTTCTGGATGGCTTCCACACAGAACCCCCATCTGGAAAGATCTCTAGTTCTCCTGCTCCCCATGGGGGACTCGGACTCCTGAAAGCCTGTTTCATGCTCCCACTTCACACGGGGCAGGAACCCCAGGTGCGTACCTGTGGCCGTGGGCGGCCGAGTGGCTGAAGCAGTTCATATCCTCATGGAGGGAGGAGGCCATGCCATTGGCTTCGAGCATGCTGAGCAGGGGGTCAGCGCCTCGGCTCAGCAACAAGCTGACCAGCTCATAGTTCCCTGGAACACAAGGCAGACGGAGGGAAGATGCCCCCACCACCCACATCATCGTGTGCCTCTACGGGCCGCCGCCTGGCTGCCGAGCTCCACAGAAACGCTGATGAATGGGGCCGGGGGAGCCCCCAGAGCCCAAAAGGAGGGTCTCCAGGCTCACCTCAGGGACCTGGGCATGTGGCCACAAGTCCGGCTGCAGGCCCTGCCAGGCTGAGTGATGCCGCAGGGAGGGCCAGCGGAGCCTTGGGGCAGCAGGGGACCCTTGTGGGCAGGGCAGCTGTCTGTATACGTACCAGCCGCAGAGGCCAGCTGCAGGGGGCTCTCCGTGTAGCTGTCCTCACCGCCACTCACTGCTGAGCCCTCCACGTGGGCCCCGGCGTCCAGCAGCAGCTGCAGGGCACAGGGCAGGACATGGAGCAGGACACATCAGTGTGGCAGGGAGAGTCTGGGAGGTGTGCAGGGGAGGCTTTGGGAGAAGGGCCTCTGGTTCCCTCCAGGCATGTGACCAAGACCCAGCTCACCTGGGCAGCTGAGGAACCTGAACTCTGGAACTTGAAGTTACCCTCAGGCCTTTAAGTTTCTAGAATCTTCACCTCTACTCTTGTGGCTCGGGACCAAGGCCCTAAGCTGTGGGGATCTCTGAGCTGGTTTTCTCTTTCAAACAAATGCTTTCCTATGAATCGATTGCATCGCCCCCGATCTACCAGGGGAAACTGAGGCTCTGGGGGGCAGCAGAGGTAGTGGGAAAGGCACTGGTATTAGAGTCAGAAAGAGCTGAGTGTCAGTGCTGGCCACCAACCAGCGAGTGACCTGGGGCAGGGCATGAACCTCAACTCCTGAAGCCCCAGGCTTCCGCATCTCAAGAATGGCCAGAGGCCTGCCCTGCCGCCATGCTGGGCATGAAATGAAATGGAGCTCAACCCACCACAGAGATTTAATAACCAGCGGCCTCAGGTGGTCTCCCTGGAGAGGTCTGGCAGGCAAGCTCCCCAAGGCTGGGAGGCACAGGGCCAGGGCAAGACCTCGCTGTCCAGGACGCCTCTCTCCATTCTGGCAAGGGCAGGATGGCGCAGGGCTAACAGAGGCCAAGCAGTTCCAGCTGAGCCGGGCCTGGCTTTGCCTCGGGGCAGGGGTGGGGTCTGCGCTGCTCCAACAGGTGACTCTGGGCTGCACCTCACCTTCCCTGACCAGTGCTCTGGAGGGAGCACTTCGCTCCTTCCCGGGTTTCTGGAACACCAAACCCGAGGGAAGCCCCGCCAGCCCCACACCTGGAGACCAGGCATGAGGGGGCCAGGCTGGCCCCCAAGCCTGCGCCCCAGTGTGTGGGAAGTGGGGAACGGCTGTCGGCTGGAGGCTCTCGTCCGTCAGAAACCAGCTGTGGCACTGCCCGAGCCGGTGTGCCAAGGTGGGGGCGGAGGCCCGCCCGATGGGGCGAAACTGGGCGCCGGTCCAGGCAGGACCAGAGCACGGCCCTGCCGGCCGGTCTGGGCTAGGCCGGAACTCTGCTCGCAGCTCAGGAGGGCAGCAAGCGGCAAGCAGGCGGGGGACGGCAGCTGGCCTGGTGCAGACCATCTGCTGAGTCCCTACGACAGGCCAGGGCTGTGCTGACCATGACGAACAGACTGGACACGGCCCCTGCCCTCAGAGGACTTGCCACCTAGCAGACAGTCTGCGAGGGTGACACATGAACTCCCAGGAAGGAGTGTGCAACCCCGTATTCCCCAGTGGCCTGAGGAACAAAGGAGTCTGGGAGTCGAGGGGCAGGGTGGCTGGTGCCCTACCTGGGGTGGGCCACTGCTTGGCTCTGCTTCTGGGCCTCAACCCCACCCTCACACCAGTCACAGCTACCTGGGCCACTGTGGGCACCACCCGGCGTGACCTGGCTGGAGAGGTGACCCGTGCCGCTCTGAGTCCTCTCTCAGGACCCGGGACGCGCAAAGACTAAGCCTGTTAATGGGGATGGGCAGAACCAGGACGCCCTGATACAGGGCCGGCTCTGTGGGACCATTCACGGGGGAGCAGAAAGGGCTGTGGGTGGGCAGGAGGGTCGGAGGAGAGGCTGCGGAGCACACGTGCCGATTCCCGCAGGCCCGGAGACTCCCGGACAGCTACAGAGACGCCCGCAGGCCCGGGACTGCTTGGACCTGGGCTCGTTCCCCAAGATTCCACACGGGTCCTTATGCTAAAGCCCTCTCCTTGAGGCAAGCCGGGGGGCGGGTCTGTCCTGCTGAGCCGGTGCGCGGCCCGAAGCAGCTCCTCTGCTCTCTCTGATTCCGGGCAGGCAGGGCTACATCCGGGGCCCAGCCCCCCTGGCGAGCGAGGGCTCACCTGCACCACAGAGATGTGTCCATGCAGCACAGCGAACGTCAGCGAGGTCCAGTGCCGGCTGTCGGGGTGGACGGAGGGGTGCTTGGGAGAGTTGCTTGGAACCTGGAAAATGCCACAAAGGATCCGTTTTTTTTTTGGGTGAGTGCCATTCCTGGGCAGGTGACGCGGGCACCGGAGCGAGGGGGGCATCCTGCAGGGATGGCGACTAGGAGCCTATCCGAGTGCTTTCTGTTCAACTGGTCACGTCTGCATGGCGCACCCCGTAGACAAGGCTCAGCAGGATGGTCGGTTAGTGCTGCCTGCCCTGGGTACAGACACGGCAGGGACGAGGCTGTCCCGTAACAACCGTGCCCACGCTCTCCGCTCAGCTCCCTGCTCTCGGACAGGAAGCCCACGCGTCAGGACAAGCGCTCCTGGTTCACTGTTATCTCTGTGCATCCCTATTCCCATCCCTCCAAATACGGCACCAGCACGGCTGCTGGGGACCGTGGGGTGCTCCCTTGCTGGGCCAGGCGCCCCGCCGCGGCTGCTCACCTGGATGTCCAAGTTCGCTCCCGCATCAATCAGCATCTGGACCATCGCCTCGTCCCCGGCCGCGCAGGCGTACATCAGCGGCGTCAGACCCTGTGTGAAGCAAAGGTCGACGCTAAACCATCTGGCAATGGACGCAGTGCCACGTATTCCACAGGCGTCTGTGCCAGAAACCACAGTCCGGGCTCGGGCTTGACTCGGCTGCTCATCCGCAGCAGCCCTGCGTCGTGGCTCACCCTCCTGCCCCTTCCGGGCGCACTGGACACGGAGCCCGTGAGGCCTGAGTACGGGCCATTTCCACAAGCCTGCGGGACACCAGAGGGGTGAGGAGCACGGGCCCCGAGGCCCCCTCTGCCACGGGGAGCTGTAAACCGTGTCCAGGTCACTCGTCTCTGTTTGTGCCTCAGTTTCTTCTTTAAAATGAGACCAACAACAGGATCTAGCTCATAGGCTTGTTGTGAAGAAGACGAGTGACCGTGTGTCAGGTACTTAGCGCAGAGGAAGCCGACGTCAAGAGCTAAGGAATCACAAGAACGCAGCGAGCCCGTCACTGCCCTGGTGTTATACCGCCGGCCATACCCTAACCCACCCCAGGCCCTGGGCCCCTAAATCCCTGCGGGAGGTGATTTACATGCAACATCTCATCGAATCACCATAACATCCCTATTAAGGAGGCTCTATTATTATCCCCATTGTACAGACAAGGAGCCGAGAGACCCAAGGCCAGGTCACACGAGGAGGAGGAAGAACTCACACCGGACCCCGGATCCACCTGAGCCGTGAAGCCCCCCATCAGAGGCAGCTCACAGAGCGCGGACAGGGGTCTGACTTGGATCTCTTGTGCTACTGAGCAAGTCAGAGCTTTCCCGAAAGCGGAGGGCCAGTCCCTCCCCAAGTTTGGGTGGACGGCTCGCCGGGCTGCCTCCCGGCTGGGAATCTTTCTCCGGGGCCAGTAATAGCAAAGGCAGCAGTGGAAAGTGTTATCCCACAGCTGGATCCTGGCGAGCGTGTGTCTGGAGCCCTGCGATGTTATTTATTAGGTTATTTGTGTGTAGACAAGATCTCCTTACCTCATAAATCCCTGCCTAGTGCCCAGAGATAAAGAAATGGCCTGACATTAATCATGGGCGAGAGAGCTGTTTACCCACAGATCATCCCATAAATACCAAGGCCGAGGGCACAAACAGGACCGAGCATTTAGAGAAGAGCCGAGTGCCGCCGAGGGCAGCTCTGGTTTGGTTTCAGCCCCCTCCACACTTGCTTGACTTTGTTCTCTACACGTCTGTACACGGTCCAGTGTTTACATCGGCTCGGAGTCTTTTTTGTGTCAGCCCCCCCGCCCCCCACTCCAGGTCCATAGGTAAGGAAAAGCATGAAGGGCTGATGAACAGAGCTCACGGCTAATCGTCACTGTCATCACATGGACAGCGAAACCCAGAAGAACGCTTACTGAGCCTTTATTATGTGCCAGATGCAGAAGCGTCCCCGAACCCTACGGGGCAGGGACTGCTGTCCTCCTTTGATGGAAGCGACGAAGGTGACCCTCAGGGAGGTGGGGCAGCTTGTCCAAGACGCCATGGCTGTGACTGGGTGGATGGCTCGGGCCTCACCCCGGCACCCTGAGCGGGGGGAGGACGCCCCAGGATGAAAGCCCCTGCAAGGCCCAGGGACTGGCCCTGACCAAAGCACCCCAGGGAGGTCCGGCACCCAGCCTGTGTCCTCCCTGCTGGCCCAGCTGACACCCTGACTGTCCCAGTTCCGTGCTCCTGCTGAGTCATCTCCTCTCCCTGGAGTGCCTGCCCCACCGCTCTCTGCTTCAGCCCCTCTCTCCCCGTCCCGGAGGCCCCATTCCCCAGCCATTCTGCTTGACCCGTCACCTGTCCAGGTCCACCCTGGCCTCGTGGTTGACCTGGCACTTCAGCACGCCCTGTCCCGTGCTGGCATCTCACGGGACAGCATTCCACCCAAGCCCTCTGCCGTCACGGAGCTTTCCCCCCGCGTCTGTGTGGCCTTCCAAGCCACAGAGCCATCACCTATGTGGCGAGGATGCACAGAGTGGTGTCAGACAAACCAACTGGACAGCCCATAGTGGTGAAGAGCCTGGAGTCATCTGCTCTGCATTAACTGTGTGACCTCAGGTAAACCAACTTCGCTGTACCTCAGTTTGCCTCATCTATAAAATGGGGATGATAATAGCATGACATCCTAGGGCGACTGTCAAGACTGAAGGAGTTCATCTGGGCAGAGCGCTCTGAACAGTGCCTGGAACATATCAATGCTCCACAAATGTTAGCTCTTCACAGCAAAAACAATAAACAAAGCAAACAAAACCCCTTAAATTCTATCTAAAATTGTAAATCACTTCCAATGCTTCCTTTTCCGGCTTCATTTTACTCTCTAGCACTTTTCACAGACACACTCTGTGTTTTACGTTTCTATTTCTTGGCGCGTGTTTCCCCAGCTAGAACATTAACTCCATGAAGACAGCAGGTTCTGTGGGCCTGGTATGGAGTAGGCCCACGAGGCGCCCAGGGCCCACGCCCCAGTGACTAGTACTCACAGCTGGAAATCCAGCTGGGACTCCTCCAGACTTCTTCCCAGCCCTGCACCATTGGGGACAGTCTCTGGCCTCCCAGCCAGCAGAAGCAGAATCTCTGTTACAAAGGCATCCCCAGCGGTGCTAGGAAAGTCTTCCAGCTGATGCCCCACCAGCAACGGGAGGCTGCCCACTCCTCAGAAGCACCGAGCTGAACAGAAGGACTGTGCCACCCTCTCTCGCCACGGCGAGTCCCCACCTCTGTCCCCCGCGCCTGGCTAGCGGAGCTCTCCGCACGCACCTGGTCGTCCATAGTGTTCACCCCGTCTGGGCCCAGGGCGTCGATGGCCTGGTTGATGAGGTCCGTCCTGCCACAGTTGAGCATGCGGAAGCCCAGGTCCTGGTTGAATTTTTCGGTGGCCGCTCGGGCATCCAGCCTCCTGAAGGAGCTGAAACAGCACTCGGGTCTGCATAGATGAGACCCGGAGGTGTGTGAGCAGGACTGTGTGTGAGCGCCTCTCAAGGAGGTGAGGCTGACGAGGGGCAGGGCGACAGGGTGGAGGGGAAGGACGGGGAATTTCGGTTCCATCGGCAGCAACTGGCCTTGTCATGCTCAGTGACGTGAGCACAGACATCTGCTCTTCTACAAACACGTTAAAGAAGAGCTCGGAGCTGTCCACTGTCAGGAAAGGACGTCCCCTCAGGAACAACCCACCAGGGACTCTGCCTGAGCAGGATGCAGCTCCAGCCCGGACGTGGGCCACGGTGCTCGCCCGTGTGCTTTCTGCAGGGCGAAGACTGCCCTCGGACTAGAGGACGGCCACTGTGGCCCAGTTCCAGTTCTTGGCTTACATCCTCTCTCCTCAAGGGCTTCCCGAGGAGGCCCAGAATTACCAAACAGATGGTGGAGAACGGCCCAGAATCCCACTGCCATTCAGCCCTCCCACCAACGAGAGTCAGATTAAAAACTACATCTATGAGACGGCACACCACAGGCTTCCCACAGGGGGCCTCAGCCTGGAGCCAAAGTGTGGAAAGTTCACGTCCCAGAATGACATTTGGGAATTTGCCATGGAGACAGAGGAGGATATAACTGGGGTTGGGGCAAAGGGTCAAAAAAAAAAAAAAAAAAAAGGCAAGTCTCTCATACGACAAGGATGGCCACGGAGAACATTCTCCAGACGGACTTCAGGAGACCAGTCCAATGTAAGACGGTCATGCTGGGAAGAAAGTTAAGAGCCCAGGCTTGGGGTCATGTAGACCTGGGTTCAAATTCAGGCACTTGGCTAGCTGAGTATCTGTGGACAAATTAGTATTCCTCCCTGATGCTCAGTTTCCCCATTTGTAACATGGGCATTATAGCCCCTCTTTCTCTAAAGTTGTCATGAGGACCAAGATGACGCATGTACAGAGGAAGGGCTCAGCCCAGCGTCTACACTAAGGAATAGTTGAGAAAAAATAGTGGCAAGTATAGGAATAGAGGAGAGGAAGGACCCGCTTTTGCTGATTACCCCCCCCCCCCAAATATCCCACAGAGCCAGCCTGTGAGCGCTCTCCTGCCCAGATCCAAATGCGCGTCTGCTCTGTGACCAGCGGAAAGCAGCCAGGGTCTGGAATGATCCGTCTAACGGGCACGGCGCCCACAGAGCACGCCCTGGGAGGGGGCCCCCAACGTCCCGGAGAGGGAGGCGTGCGGCGAGCTCACGCCTCGCTGCTTCCGTACTTGAGCTGGCGGGGCTCACAGTCCAGGCCAGGCAGCAGCAGCCGGGCGGCCTGCCGGATGTCGCCGCTGTCCACGGTGAGGCTGCGGCGGTGCTCTGCGTAGGTGATGGCCACGCGCATCCACTCCATCAGCGGCGGCAGCAGCATGAAGGGCCTGGGAGGCAGCAGACAGAGAGGGGGTCGGGCCGCTGGCGCGCGCCCGCCACCACGCACGCCCCGAGACCCGCTACAGAGGCGGTGAGGTGTGGAGGGGCGGGCTCCTCGTCCTCACAGAGACCCCGGTTTGTCCCATTCCACAGACACGGTCAGGAGCCAGGAGGAAGTCCCGTCCTGGGCCACGGGCAGAACCCGAGGGCCTCAGGTGACCAGTGAAAGGAAGGGTTTGCCAGTGTGTCAAGGGGGGGGCCCTGAATTCGGACGGGGTCTCCTGGTCTCTCCCCGCAGAAGGGGAGACTGCCTCCTGGGTGGTGGGGGGGCGTGCGGGGGCAGGAGTCCCACAGACCCAGGCTCCCACCCCGGCCCTGCCCGAGCAGCTGTGTTCCGTCACCACAGACCAGCGTGGCCCGGGCCTGCTCCTGCCACCTGTGAGACGGGCTGTCGTGGAGCTGTGTGAGATGATGTACGGCACACAGCTCACGGTCGCCCCTTCCTCACCCTGCACCTGGGCAGAGGTGGGCCTTACGTCACTTCCTGTGGCAGGCTGGAGCCGCCTCCGCGTGGTGCTCCCCGTCCTACGGGGACAATGGTCTCGGGGCCTAACACTAAAAACCCAGGGCCACAGTGACATGGGGCACTAGGTGGAAGCAGGGAGACACTTCTGTTGGGCAAGGCCTTTGAGTTGCCAACTCCAGGGGGGCACCACTCACGAGGTAGTCCATGTGTCACCAGGGGGCGCCATTCACGCGGAATGGGACTAGTGTCCCCTGGCATTGAGCAATACGGCCTGCACAGTGGCTCAGGGGCCTGCCCTCTCCCCGCCCCAGGCCCTCCCAGCCCCATCCCGCCCGATCTGGGTTACTGCTGGGGAGGCGGGGTCCGCTCGCTACTGAGAGAGGCTTTCCTCCTGTCCTCGATCAGTTCTGGCAAGTCTCCCATGGTGAAGACCATCTTCGGAGACCTCCTCACAGTCCAACCCATCTCGGTGCTTTGGGCCGCCCTGACGTCCAGTCTTTGGCTGTATGACTCAATGGACAACCAGCCTGCTCTGCCCCGAGCTTTCCTTGCCTGGTCACAAGGATGAGGCAGCCCTGGCACCCTGCCCCTTGTGGCTGTTCTAAGGACAGCTCAAGTCCGCCTCCCACTCCTGTGCGTGCTCCCTGCCCTCCTGACGCCTGCCGCTCCTCCGCACCCCACTCCCTCTGACGCCCTGGGCTCCTTGAGCATTAGGCCTCTGCTGTCACCGCCATCTTGCCCCAGACGTGCAGAGAGGTACTGTGACCAGGAAAAGGACCTCTGCTCTCTCTCCTCAGCCACTAAGTCAGTCAACTGGAATCAATGAGAGACCCTCAGATCACTGGTCTCAGATTTCCAAACACTCAGGAAATCGTCAGAACTTGAAGAGCTTCTCTCCTTGAGGGAAAGGATGCTTTTATTTATTTTTAAACAAAATAAGCAGATGTGATCTTGAAGGTGGTTCATTTGGAAGTTATTTTGATCTTCTGGTTCTGTCGTTTCAGAAAACCTATCTGGGTCCTAGTGTACCAATCAGAGTGGTGAAGAGAGTCACGGGTTGGAGAAGCCTGGCTGGTCTTGGCCTTCAAGAGTGCCCCAGACCTCACCCCAACCCATTTCCAGTCCTGGCTCATATCCTTTACCAGGACACACCAGACCACCAGGCACCCGTGGTTCTCAAGCCTACCCTGCCCTCCCTACCTCCTCAAGAGAAGGAACCTGCTCTCACCTCTGCCCATCCAGATCGTGTTTATCCTTAAAGGCTCAGTTCCAGTACCTTCCCTTTCCAGAAGCCCTCCCAGATCCTCTCTCCCCGAAGAAAATAATCTCTTCCTGCTCTGAGATCCTTTAGAACTTGCTCTTCCATCAATGAATGTGTCTCATCTTCCTGACTAGACCCACTGTGCCTCAGAACAAGAACGATGGCCTGCTCATGTCTGCGTACTCCCAAGTATGCCCAGCATGGGGCCTGAACACAATAGGTCCTCAATAAACACTGGCCGAATGACTAAAAGTATGGCTGAGCATCAGGAACTTGTTATGATGGATCTGAGTTTTCACTTCTGGACCAACTCCTGTTTCTGCCCAGAAAAGAATGGCATATAATTTTCAAGGGCATAGTGCTGACTTGCTAGAGTAGGGAAAGCCAGGACTCTATGGGCGGAGCTTATAGAATGTAGGAAGGAACAACAAGCCATTTGTGAACTCCTCCTCTGTTTATAGAACTTTGATTATAAATACCCATTTGAATTCTCCCCAAATAGTTCTGGGTTTTCCAATTCTGACATTGCAATGCTAGAAGGCAAGCTCAGACACATATTTCTATATATATCAGTCCTTCTGATCCAAGGGGAAGGCTTTATCTAAACCACCAGCACTGGGACTGAAGTGTAAATGAAAAGATAGTTCGTGGATTTGCCAGCCACTCTTCCATGTTGTGGCCAACAGCCAAGACCAAGTGCCAAGTACGGACACTGAAGCTCTAAGCAGCATCTCCCAGCTGCACTAGGGGAAATCCAGGAGGGAACTTGGGGAATCACTAAGTCCAGTCAGATGGCGTTGTGATTCATTATGCTCCAGGCCTCTTAGAACTTGGCACATGAAAAAATATGGTGTTGATAACCTCGGTGGGCAGGTACTGGGGACTGGCTCATTCAGCCTCCATTATCCCATCTTTGTTGGAGACATAAAACGTTGAAAACTACATTTCCCAGACTCCTTTGCAGCTGGGGTTCTGGAGGCAAATTAGGTTTCGCCATTAAGATGCAGCTGCGTGAGATCTGGTGAATAGGTGTGAGGCCAAGCCCACCTTTGTCTGTTTCTGCTAGCAAGCCAGGTCATGAGACATGAGGTCTATTTTTTCTTTTCTTACAGACCCTTCCAGTGTCCATTTTCCACCTTCCCGAGTGCTTCAGGGGCCGTGGTAGTGCTACTGAAAGCAACCACAAAGATGTCTTGATTCCAGCTTCAATCGGAATTGCATTTCCAGGGCGTGTCTCAGAGGGAGCAGCACCCCCTGCTGGAGGAGTCTGGTATCGTCTTTGGAGGCGTGGCCTTGAACCTGCTCCTTGAGCTCTTCCAGTGATTCTCCTGGCATCTAATTCCCTGCATTAAATCCCTTCCTGCTTAAAATACCTAGAGTGGTTTCTGTTTCCTGAATTGAACGCTGACTAGATATTCTCAACATACAGAAATCCTCCAGGGTTAAGCACGTCCCTCCGCCTCTGGGGTAGTGGCTGGCGTCCACCTGTCCACAAACAAGGCGGTGCCAGTCCCCACACTGACCTCTTCAGGCCCTTTTCCCTGGCCTACCCACCCCCCTGTGGTCCATGGGAAGATGATAGGACAAGCAATTCATGGACTTTCTCAGTAACATCCTTCCCTTGGCCTGTAGGTTCCAGGCTACTACTTCCTTTCTGGTAATTTCATGTAGCCCACTGGACATGCTGAGAAGCTGGCCTGTATTCCTGGACGTTCTGGAAAATCCCCGTAAAAACTCCCATCCGTACCAGCTGCGGGTGCCTCCTCCCCACTGGGGGAGAGGGCTCCAGAGGAGTGAGGCTGGGAATGTCGGACATCTGCATTGCCCCCATGCTTGGTCCCGTCCCAAAGAAAAAGGCGGTTTTTCTCTTCTTGCCATTCCTCTAGGCTGAGCTTGGCCACAAGCCTTTCACTGCCAGGGCAGGTGTCTGCTGTGCCAGAGGGGGTGGGGGCATGGCTTTGGTCAGCCCCTCTGCCACCGAGATTCCCCCTTGCTGGGTCCAATATCTCTGAATAGCGGTTCTGGAGTGCTTTGGTCCCAGGATCCCCTTTGTACTCTTACATATTATTGAGGCTTTCAAAGAGCTTTTGTTTAAGTGTGTTATTCTACGGCTATTTACTGTATCAGAAATCAAGACAGAAAATGTTTGGGGTGCCTGGGTGGCTCAGTCCGTTAAGCATCTGCCTTCAGCTCAGATCATGATTCCAGGGTCCTAGGACCGAGCCCCAAGTCAGGCTCCCTGCTCAGTGGGGAGCTTCTCCTTCTGCCTCAGTCACTTCCCCTGCGTGCTTTCTCTCTCAAATAAATAAAATCTTAAAAAAAAAAAAAAAACCCAGAAAATGTTCAAACATGTAAATATGCAAGTTCACCTTCGGTGTACTGTCATCACCTGTCACCTAGCTTCTGGAAAACTCCCCTGGACACATGTGAGAAGATGAGAGTGAAAAGGCAAATAACACCTTATTCTTATGAAAATAATTTTGACCCTGTAGACTCCTGAAGTCTCCGGGACCCCAGGTGGTCCCCAGACCACACTGTGAGAATCACTACCTTAAGAGAGGGCTGTACTTGGGCTGAGTGTGGGGCTGGGCTTCTGCCTCTGGTGGCACACGGTCCAGCCAGTTCTAGAATACTGTGTGGTTTGCATGCACCTTCCCAGCCCAGTGCACTGAGGCTCCTAGCCCCCTTCCCTGCAGCATCCTCATTGCAAGAAAGCCCCAGTGTCCTGGAAGCAAGGGAACGGGCTCTATAACCTGGGGCAGGTCATTACACTCTTTGGGCCTGTTTTTCTCTTAAAGAAGTGGCTTCTAGATATTTCCCATTGTGAGAACCTCTTTTGCTGCTATTTCACAGACTCCCCGTGACAATGGCTCTGTCTGCAGTGATCTAGAGTGTGGGCTCAGGAGGGAGCCTTTTGGGTTGGGATCCAGCACCACCACCAATAAACTCAATTGTGAGCCTGGGCCCCCTCAGCCTCAGTCGTCCCATCAGTGAAATGGGTATAAATAATACGACCACCTCACGAGAAATACGCATGGAAGTGCTTAGCCCAGCATTTGGCCCATGGCAAGTTCTCAGTAAAGGTGAACTATTATTACTATGTTAGTATCTGTTGATAGAGAAAACACATAATAGCAGAACAGGCTATAGGAATCTGGTCCTATTAAATGCTTCAACTCTAGCTCTTCAAGTGGGGCTGACTCTCCCCTCACCGGCCCTCC